TGTATGGGGTGGGATGTGAGGCGGGGGAGAATAAGCATCCATGGCTTTGAGGTGCCCCATGGGTGTCCAATCCCAGGAAGAGGGGCCTACATGCTGGCAGGTTGCCCTTGTCCCTGTAATGGTCCAGGTTGGTGCCCATGTCCCACTGAGGAATTTGACACCTCTTTGGTGATAACCTTTGGGGAGGATCTGTTTCTCCACCCTCGCATAGATGCTGCTTGGGCCTACTGACGTCCCAAAGGTGTCCCTTAGGTCAGGATGCCTTTCAGGGGAACTCCTCGAGGGGGTATGTGTGTGTGTGTGTGTGTGTGTGTGTGTGTGTCCTTTCTTGTTCGCTTTGTTAAAAATCAAACCACCACCACTGCATCATAGCTGTGAGGGAAGACATTCCTGAAAACTGGAAGGAAGCAGCTGCCTCTTGTCACTGAGAGCACGGCTGCTGAATGGAGCAGCAGCATTGGTCTTTGCAGCCCCCAGAGCAGGTTCAGGCTCAGGATGGCCATCATTCCCAAGGCCCTGAAGCTGCTGCCCGTTGTTGTGGGACATGGCTGCTGAATGGAACAGCAGCATTGGTCTCTGCCACCCCCACAGCTAGGTCCAGGTCAGGACGGCCGTCATTCCTGAGGGCCTGAAGTTGTCGCTTGTTGTTACAGAGATGGAAGCCTCTGACTGGTGTAGCAGCATTGGGCTTTGAACCCCCACAGCTGGTCCTGGGTCAGGATGGCCGTTATTTCTGAGGTCTTGAAGATCATGGCCTCTTACTTGCCCTACCCTCTGAGCCAGTAGGGGCAGATGACCTGGCTGCTTTGCCAGCCCTGGGTAACCGTGTGGCCGCTCTCTATGGCTGGGGCTGCCCCTGGGCTCTCTGGGACTGCACTTGGCCTCTGGAGAAATGTAAAGAGATCCAAGGGACAGGTGAGCAGAAGGGGCCGGGCCGTGGGGTGCAGAAAACTGCAACAGCCTTGGCCGAGAAGGCTTGCTATGAACAAACAAAATCCATATTGGGCAAGCAAGCTTTAGTAGGCCCCGAAGCTTTCTTCCTCTGCCTCTTCACCAAGGACATGCCAACGTGCAGGGCCAAAACTCTCCAAAAGACCACAGCATAACACAGGGAAGGAAGGTGCCAGGCTTTCTTGTCTGATTCCTGCCTGGTAGGGCAAACAACCATTTCTGTCTCGGTACCCAGCAGTAATACAAGGGAGAAAGCAGCAGGCCTCTACAGGGTGAAAGTTAATTTGGGTCAGTCACAGAGAGTATGGTTTCCAGTGGGTGTCCGTGTCTCTTGTGGGTGCACTGGCGCCTGGTTACACCACTAGTTTCTGATCCTCACTGATCACCACACTATTGGTTTCAGCCATTCAGCCTGTTTTCAGTCTATCTCACTGTCTGCTCAGCCAGCCCATACATCAAGAGCTTCACATGAGGGTCTTATGGGAGTCTGTGTCAAAAGCCTGAGACATAGACAATATGCTTTGCTCTTCCTTCATCTGCCAAGACAGATTATAGAGGGTTATCACTTCGTTCAAGTGTGATCCATGCTGACATAAAGCGATTTGCCACACAGCGATCTACCCCTTTGCTAGAAGCAGTCTCACCCTTGCCCAATGCCCACCCCACTATTGCTAATGCTCACCTGCCTGTAAGCTCTTTAGATGAAATTCATTTGACTGTCACCTCTTAAGAAATTTAATGGGAAGGGCTCAACTTCTCTGTCTCTCTGCTATCCTGAAAGCACAGAGAGGTTTCACAAAAACACCCAAAGCCATACGTGCACAGGTCTTGTTGAGAGCTAGCCTGGCTAGCCAAAAGCCAGGGTCACTGCCTTCAGCACCTCCCTCTTCACCCAAGCAGTCCGTGGCAGGAACTTTGCTCCAGGTCTGGCTTTAACTCGCAGAACTAAGACAACATTGCCCAAGTCTGCTTCCACACTGGGAACACAGCCAGCAACATGCAGCACCAAACAGGAAACAAGAAACACTAGCATCCATTTGTTGTGTCTTTATTTACAGGGGAGAGAAGGCCAGCATTTTATCTTGAGAGCTGTCTTGGCCTGCTTAAGCCCCAAGATGCCTCACCAGTTCTGCAGGGCTTTGGTCCCTCTTACCTATGTGTGGCAGGTACACCCACCCTGACAAAAGCCCTGGCAAGGAACTGACAAAAAAAGCCCAGGAAAGCTTCCCAGCACAGACAAAGAGTCTGGGAGAGCTTCCCGTGTGCACAGCTCTTGTCCCACCCACATGGTGGTGGTCCATGGGGGCAGGGGTGAGAAAGTTGTGTCCTCAGCCCATGGGGGCCTATATGACCAATTCTAAGCTGTGGTCATACAGGAGCCCTACCAGAGGACAAGTGGTTTCAGTCCTCCTCAGAGCAGCTGGTCTACAGTCAGGGACTCTCCCCTTGGGTCAGGATGCCATCCAGGGGAACTCCTCGAGTTTGAGAGCCCTCCCTTTTCACGTGAGTGATTGCGCATTTTGGATCATTGGCCATGAAGTTTAAGATTCAGTAGCATAGCGACAAATTCATGTGACATTCCAAATCTTTAGTTAATGTTGGTAGAGCTTTAACTGAGTTTGAATAAATTTTATTCAGCCTTAATTTATTGGTTCTGCGACATTATGGCTGTACCTAGAATTACCCAGTGCCAGCCCCTGATTATGGCAAAGCTAGCATGCCTTGGGAAGTGTCTGCATACAGGAAAGGGGATAAAGGGCTGCCACGTGCCCCCATCACAGATCAAGAGGGAATGAGGTTGTTCTGGTAGAGGTCGTGGCAGAGGTGTGTGTGGGGTGTGCGTTTCCTTTCTTGTTCTCTTGTTAAAAAGCTTTGATTTTTAACAAAAGAACAAGAAAGGACAAAGCTTATCTCAGCTCACACGGGGCTGGAGAGCAATGGAGCATTAAGCATCTAAGGTCTCAAGCTTTTCACCATGTAGAGCAGAAACAATGCTCTGGAGAAGCTGGGAATCGTCAGAGAAAGCAAGGCTGAGGGCCCCTGCTCCAGGCTTCACGGGATGCCTATGAAACTTTGTTTTCAGTGGGGCAAGTCAGACCCAGCAGCATTGGCCAAAGGATCTTGCTGGCTGCCATCCTACATCCCCTTATCTGGCTGCCACCAAGCCTCTGGCCCAGCCCTGCTGCCCCTTGCTCACCAGGCATTCCCTGACCTGCAGTCCAGTCCCACCAGGCTCTCCTGGGACACAAGTGCTGCAGCACTACCAGGTTAGGGGAGACTAGTTCTCACCCTGTGCAAGGGAGGGCACTTCCTGGGCAACCCTGGAGGTGACAGCAGGGACACTGTCCTCCACCAGGACACAATGAAAGGGACACAGACTAGGTGACGTCATGCTTTGAAAAAGGGGAACAGAGAATTCCTGGGCATCCAAGTTCGTGCAACCCAGCTGGGACCTGTGGATGTCCCATATGGGGATACTGGGCAGCCCAGGGACACGCTACTGCCCCTGCTGAGACAACCTGCTTAGCAGTCGCTTTTCATCACCTATTGCCCCTTTTGTTCAGAAGAGGCTGGTTCTCCCTTAACCATATCTTACAGACCCAAAATCCCCCATCTAGAGCAAAACCGTTCCCAGTGAGGAATGACAGACACACTTCTGACCTTCTGCAAGCCATCCTCCAGGCTTAGGGTTGAGCCCAGAGCTCGGCTAGGAGTCCCACCACACACCTGGCCACTGAGCACCAGAGGGCGCGGTTCCCACCCAAGCCAAGCAGTGAGACTGCTAAGGACGCAAGCTGCCATGTTCATATGATCACATACCCAGCATCCCCTACTAGGTCCTTGCTGAAAGCATGACAGCTGACCCGCACTGTGGTGGGAAGGGTGTCAGACACAGAGAGGGATGCTGTTGAGAGACCTGGAGGTGCAGAGACAGTCAGGGGAAATATTACACAGCATTCTCCCAGCTCCCAGTGCCTGCGAGCCAAAACCAAGCTGCTCAGGCCTGAACTGCAACAGTAGGAGGAGGCAACGCCAGCTCAGTTGCAAAACCCATGTCACACTCAAGCCACCACAGGCCTGTCCCTTCCCTGGGACGGAGACCACTGCGATACTAAAGCAGTTGTTCTTCCTTCCTTCACATCTTTGAGGTGAAGATACTGACAGCAATATCTCCCACAACCCTCTTCCCAGTACCCTCCCAGCAACACTCAGCCTGGCAAATACCTTATGGCAAGTAATTTTACATTATTCTGCATTTACACAAAAATAGAGCAATTCTATATTTATAGATATTTATAGCCAGTTCCGTGCTAGAGGAGTTGTTGACCAAGGCCAGGAGCTGTGGACAGTCCAGGCTCCCAAGCAGCCGTCTGATTCTCAGTCAGCATTTCAAACATACAAAATTAAAGGCATTCATCTCCATCTGGTTTCTTAAATAGATAAGGGGGGAATGAATGAACAGTATGTACAGAGGGGCAGCAGCAGGGCCCAAGCGCCCTCTGCCCCAGCCTCACGCTGCCACTGCCGTCAGTGAGGCCGGCTGCTGGACTCTGAGGGCTGCCGCTGGCGAGGAGGAGTGTAGCCATTCAGGTAGCCGTTGCTCTGGCGTTTGCTGAGTCCTCCATTAAGAATGTCCTGGATGTGCTGCACAATGAGGTTTATGGCCACTGTGAGCAAAAAGGAGGGAAAGACACAATGGAGAGATTGCGTTAGGGTCACTGCAAATAAACTAGAGCCAGTTCAGAGATGATGACCCTGATAGTCTCCCCTGCTCCCATCCCTTCCTATTCCATGGTGAGAAGCTGCAACCCTGCCAGGAGGAGCTGCCCACTGGGACTTCATCCCTCTGCCCCAGCTGAGCCCAGCACTCAAGTCAGCAACTGCCTGTCCCAGTTGTACATCTTGCCTTGGGAGAAGCATATTGATTTTCCTTTGTGTGGGATGAACCAGGAGTTTGCCTGGAGGCACTGCACGTAGATGGGCACCCAGGCTTGATAAGAGGAACACAAACTTCCAGTCAGGAAGGCACAAAGGGAGAGGCTCATCTTGGTCAGTGCATGTGTGGTAACAGCACTCTCTAGGGTGACAGTGATTTGACCCACCTCTGTGGCAGGCTCCACTGCAATAGCACAGGCCAAAGCTGGTAGCCAGGACATAACAGCAGGCTCTGGGTCCACTCACCTTCATTATCTGCTCCTCTGGGAATGATCACATCAGCATACTTCTTGGTCTGGGAGGAGAGAGAGCACTGTGTTATGGCAAAAGTGGAGAGCCACCAGGCTGTGGAGTTGCCCCTGCTTCCTTCCCATCCCCTTGCCAAACCCAAAGCCACTGGGAGGTATGTCATTGCTGATAACGCATTTTGGATGCTTTTTTTTTTGTCTTCTGCTCTGTGTTTCGAGGGCCACACTTTGTGCCTTTACTCCATTTTCATGAGCTCATACAGACTGCAGTAAGAGGTAGCAAGATTCACCATAAGAAACTTGAAATAAAAAAGCCTCATGATATCAAGGCTCCAGCAGTTGGTGCTTTTGGGAACAACTTCCCTGCTGAATCCAGCCAGACTTGGTGCAAGAGTTGGCATGCCTGGGCACAGCCATGTGGTCTGCTTGGGATGTGGGAAGAATGTTCTACCAGCAATGCTTGCAAAAAAAGTCTGATTCAGGACACCAGTTCTGACCTATCTTCACCTGTAGGTGCCAGTCTCAGTTTCCTCCCCTGTTTGTGTCAGCTTTTACAGCTGACCAGTTCCTGACAGCCAAGCTCTACCACCAGTAAAGAAGTCAGCTCCATGGATGAAGGGTTCCATCTGACACCTACAGGGGCTTCTAGCCATATCAAAAATCACCAGCACATGCTGGACCATTTCAGTGCTGGATCACCTGGGCCAGGGCTGGGTTAGGAGTCAGATAACAGAGCAACAGTGGGGGCTGAGCCTGCTCAACATTGGCATGCAATTGCTCTGCAGCTGAGTGTATCAGCAGGTTAGAAGCAGGAACAGGCCACTGCAAAGCTGGTGGGTAGGAACAAAGCAGTTGTTTTCTACCCTGCTTGTCTCCTATTTCATCCTCTTATAGACTCTTCAACAGAAGAGACTGATGCAGCATCTGCTGGTTTGCAAAGCTGCAGATTTACCTTGCTGGGGACTTGCAAGGAAGGGAACCACCAAACTGGTCCTGCCTTTCAGGAAGAGCCTCTCTGGGATTACCAGGAATTGGATGTTGGTCCCCAGAGCCGCAACCGAGTGAGACAGAGAAAAGGGTGCTACTGTGGAGCCAGGAAAAGATCTCGTAACAAGCACAGAGCAAATCTGCCCCTCTTACAGGAAAGGGCAGAGCTGGCCACCTAGACAGGCACAGAGATGGTCCTGAGGCTGACGGCCCAGGTTCCATTCTTGTCTATAGTGCTGGCCAGCAGTTCTCAGGCTGCAGGACTCTGCTCCTTCTTATTCTGCCTCCAGAATAAGAAGAAAATCCTCATATAACTATCACATCTGCTTGAAAAGCCTTGAGATCCAAGGCATAGGCTCCTCTGCATGAGAGCCAGGAGAGATGTGCAATGGCTAGTCCTGCAAATGTGCTATTCCACCTGCAAGTTCAGCGGTACTGCAGTGGTCTCCCACATGCGAAGTCCCTGTCTGCGAGGGAGCCTTGCCTCAGTTACCAGTTCCCAAAGTAGCTTCCTTTCTCCAGGTAGACCTTGCAATACTGGCCCAGAGCAAGGTCTACATGCTCTGCACCTTGGCCTCTCACCAGCCAGGAAATGCAACCTGCAAGGCCACATCCCACAGCACAGACCACAGGAAGAAGCTTCCTTGCTCTCCCAAGCATCCAGCCAGCAAGAAGCCAGAAAGACTCCAGGGTGAAAAGGGCAGGCAGGACAGCCCAAAACAGGAGGCAGGCAGAGCAGACACTGCCTGTGACAGGGATCTCCCTTGGCTAGATGCAGGCAAGGATCTTCCCTCATGGCTGGCATCTGCCGGGCTGCCTGGTGTTGGTTTATCAGACCCTGTGCAGGGAGGGGTTTATTTGCCATACAGGCCTTCCCACAGGGGAGTGTGAGCTCACCAGGAAAGCAGTGTCTGTATAAATAGTCCCCATTTTGCCTTGTCTTAGCCAGCACTAGCACCCCTATTTTTGCCAGTGCCTGCAGGGAGGGATGAAGGTGAGACAGGCTGACCTGAGCTCTGGGACACAAAATGCTCCTGTCTGAAGAGCTGGGCATGGCATAAAGCATTTTTGGCAGACTCCTATGGGTGTCACTCCCCTTACTTACTGGCAAACAGAACTCTTCAAAGGCAGGCTTGACGAAGGTGATGTACTGAGTTAAGATCTGCTCGAGGTCCCTGCCTCGCTCACTGATATCTCGTAGCACTGCAGGGAAGATGCAAGGCACAGTCAGGAGTTGAGACATGAATTACTCCATCCCCCTTCTCTTCAGTACAGCTTTTGGCCAGCCACGCATGTATTTTGCCAGAGATTTTTGTTCCTCTAAGCTGCTGCCCACATGTTCAAGCACACCTCATCCCTGCTATATGCTTCCAGGCTTTCCTGGGAGCCAAGGGCTGTCTGACCTAAGTGCTTTTCATGTCCTTCCTCTCTTCTCAGCACTGCAAGCACATTTCAGCGATTACCAGTGCTACCCCAGTCTTGACTGTTCCCAGCCTCACAGTCCCTGCAACCCTCATATCACTCCTTTGGCCAAAAGGCATTTAGGGCCATTTCCCCCAGTCGATCCAGTACAGAGGTGCCCAAAGAATAAAAAAGCAGTAGAGTTCACCCATACATATATGCACAGTTTAACTCAGGTATGCAGAGTAAAACTCTCCCACCTACCCAGCTCTGCCAGGCTCCTTGTGCAGCTCCCAGCTGAGTAGGATGAGAAGGTAAAGCAGGCTCCCACAGCAAGAGGCTGAGAGTGGTGCTTGGTGGAAGCCAGGAGAGCAAGCTGGCCTCCTGCTTGTTCTGCAATTTGGGCCTTACACCCTTGCTCGCATAAGGTATTTGGGCCATTGCCATCCGAAATTCAAAGCCACTTCAGCATGAACAAGTGACCCAGTTGAGTGGTAATGCAATCCATGGGTAAGAGCCAAAACTGCTGTACTGTAGCAGAGCAGATGTCTCTTGGCTCTCCCCAGGGGGCTGGCTTCTTCCCAGCATGCCTGGCATGGGTTTGGAGTAAGCCTTTTCCACATGCCAGGGCAGAGCCAAGCCACAGCACTACTAGCCTATGTGACCTGCTCGGCAGCCATTACCCATGTGCTTGCAAGGGCAGGCCACTGCTGTTCTAGTGCTGGTTTGGCATTATCCCCGTGGATCTGTTTGTCCTCAGCCAGCAGCTTTGCAGTGTGCTCTTTTGCAGCCCCAAGCGGGGGAGGTGATGGAGTGAAGAAAGGACTGGCAGCAGGATGTGTGCCAGCTCCAGGAATGGCTCAGCTCAGCCCAGGCTGCTCTAGACAGCTCTTTGCCTTCTCCAGAGAGTGGGAGCAAGCCCCAGCTCAAACAATACAGAAAAACTAGTCAAAGAAAATAAACCAGAAAGACTTTTGTTTCCCAGGTCCCACACCCTGTTTTTTGGCTGCTCTGAGGCAGGGAAGGAGCACAGCAAGGGCGTATTTACAGTACACCCAGCCTGGGATGGCATGCTGGAGGCCTGTGAACTGCATAGGGGGCGAGTGCCCAGGCTGTAGGGGCTGGTCCTGACAGGCAAAGCTCTCCTGCCTGCTCCCAGGCAGACCACAGCAGGGCAAATCACCCCCACACGCACAAGTCAAGCACCTACTGTCTTGTACCTGACCCCAAAGCAACAGGTCCCAGCAACCTAGGCTAAGACCACCCACCCTATCTGGAAGTATCACCCTCTACTTGCAGGGCAGGCAAATGTCCCAAGGACAGATTAACACCATGTAGAACCAGCAGGCAGACATTGCTCAAATCGGGCCCGAAACATGTACAATGGCTTATCTTTGTTTTACAGAAGCTGACTGAGGACAGGGCAGTGAAGTGACCTCAGCCAGAATCAGCTTTCCATGGCTCAGGCTGTTTGAGGCACCCAACAGACCTAGCCCTTTGTCCTATGGTAGCAGTGTTTTTCCTGGGAGAGGTGCAGAGATGGGGACAGTACATTAACTGAGCTGTCAGCTACATTTCCAGGAACCTCATCTGCTGCTGCCTAGTTGAAAAGCCCATTACTCCAACTCTTCAGAACAAGATGACTCAGGGCTGTGTGACAATGCAAGATCCTGACTTTTGCTACAAACTGCCTCCAGCTACATTCCAGGGATGTGATTATAGCTTCAGCACCTCACATGCAGGTTCTCCTTTCTCTGAAATGTTAGGGAGACACAGTAAACAGATTTACTGCTGCAGTGGTCCTACCAACTGCTGACAGCAAGCCAGATCAATTCCCTACCAGAAGGCCAATGACTTGCCCTAACTAGGAGATACCAGCACCTCAACCAGGCTAGTTGCCCCTTTGCAAGGCTTTAGCAATGGATGGTGGGTGGGAGAAATACCTAAGAATGGCCTGGGCCCAGGTGTCTCAGGACCCTCTCCAACAGCTGCAGCAGAACTCGGTTTACCTCTGTATTGTGGTCAGCAGCTGGATAGTCTCAGTTCTCAGATCTTAGATAGGATCTCAACCAGTTTTCACGCCCTGAGCTCAAGAGTTCTGTAGCAAGCCCGAAATGACTGAACCACACACTCCAGAGTATAGCTGGGATGCACACATGGTCATGTTGCACTGCAAATGCACTTGCAACACCTTGCCTTCAGACAGCTAGCTGATCCAGGGAACTGACAAAATTGTTGTCACTTGAGATTTGAGTTGTATGTTACAGGAATTGCTATAGCAGGGGCTCTCTTGTTGCTAGCCAGGCTGGGAGCAAGGGAAACAGACTAGGAGCAATGGGAAGAGTTCACTGCAATATTAAACCCTATAACCTGGCCCAAAGGGAGCAGGGGTGAAGATCATAATGAATAGACTTTTAAATCATTGTAACACATGATTTAAGTTGCATGTTATAGGAATTACTATAGCAGGAGACACCTGAACCAATGGAGGACAAGCCTTACAAGAAGCAGTGCAAGTGCAGCAGCGACCCTACCTGAGCTGGCTTTGGTGCCCAGTAACTCCATACAACACATTACCTCTCTTGTCCCAAGTGATCTCCATAACAGATGGAGCCCAAAGTCATGGACTAAATTAACTCAATGGACACATGCAGCTATTTTATAGCGGCGGTCCATAAACAAAGGGAATTATATCTGCACATTATATCAAAGGATGGGAAGAGGTGTGGTGGCAATGAGAATGCATTGGATAATTACCTGAGCATGATATAAATGGTATGAAATAAGGGCTGGAGAATGCGCTGGCTTTGGCTGGGATACAGTTAATTTTCTTCAGAGTAGGTAGTATGAGGCTATGTTTTGGATTTGTGCTGAAAGCAGAGTTGATAACACAGGGATATTTTTGTTATTGCTGAGCAGTGCTTAGAGAGTCAAGGCATTTTCTGCTTCTCACACCACCCCACCAGCGAGTATGCTGGGGGTGCTCAAGAAGTTGGGAGGGGAGACAGCCAGGACATCCGATCCCAACTGACCTAAAGGATACTCCATACCATCTGACATCATGTTCACTCAGCATATAAAGCTAGGGAAGAAGGAGGAAGCCAGGGAGGATGGCAGGGGGGGAGAGGATGACAGATGACAGGGCACAGCATTCAGAATGACAGCATTTGTCTTCCCAAGTAACCCAAGTGTGAAGGAGTACTCCTTTCGTGAGGATGGCTGAACACCTGCCTGTTGATGGGAATTAGTGAGTGAATTCCCTGGTTCGCTTTGCTTGCACACACAGCTTTTTACTCATTAAAACGTCTTTATCTCAGCCCATGAGTTTTCTCACTGTTACTCTTCCAGTTTTTGCTGCTATCCTGCTGGGAGAGCAGAGATAGCAAGTGGCTGCGTGATGCTTAGTTGCCGGCTAGAGTTAAACCACAGCAGTGTGCTAACCCATGGCTGGGTGCAAACCCAAGTTCTTCTACAGCATAGTCTGCTTAAGGGGTAAGGCTCACACTGCAGGATCTTGCAAATGTCTATCTCCTAACACATCGCCCTGCAATGACTGTGCTGTCACCTCCCTGGATGAGTCACACAAGAACACTGGGCAGGGTCAAGAAGGATGTGTAAAAAGGAGCTTTTAATCAGCACTGATTACATCCCAGCAGCGGGCTGTGTATTTGTCTCACAGACAAGGGTAGGCAGGCAGGCATGAGGAGGAGAATGGAGCGAGGAGGTGGCTGATCTCTCAAGTAGCAAGTGATAGGACAAGAGGAAACAGCCTCAATTTGTGCCAGGGGAGGCTTAGACTGGATATTAGGAAAAAATTCTTCACTGAAATGGTAGTCAGGCATTGGAATAGGCTGCCCAGGGCAGTGTTCAAAACGTGTACATGAGGCCATTAGTGACATGGTTTAGTTGTGGTCTTGCCAGTCCTGGGGTAACAGTTGGACTTTATGATCTTAAAGGTCTTTTCCAACCTAGTTGATTCTATACTTCCAAGACCAGTTCTGTAGCAGAGTGCATACAAACAGTTCCAGGCTGACACACTGAGACATGCTCCTCTCCTCACAGCACAGAGGTCTGGACTGGACCTCTCCTAAGTCATCTTCTGCATCCCCAGACACCCTATGGAGGCTGTCGGAGCCAGGGAGGGTCAGGGACAGTTCAGAGAGAACCAAATTCTGCCCCAAGAATCCCCAAATGCTTTCTTAGTCATCTGGGGAGACTCAGATGGCTACATCAATGAGCCCACTGATAAAGGCTGCTTTGAAATGAACAGCACCTTGAGACACAGATCCTGCAGAGCTGGAGTCCCTCCTATGTCAACTGGCAACCCACAGCCAAGCCAAGCTGGACATGTATTGTCCTAGAGAGGGATATTCTGATTTCTAGGGCTTTTCGCTCCCAAAGCCATCATCCCAGTGCCAAGTATCACAAAGAGGCTCCATGCTGCGCTGGCTGTGCTTGCACAGACTGAAAAATGAACAACCAGACTCCCTATTTGCATCATCATCCACAATGGACAACCTCACACACAAATGCATCTTTGGAGCATATCCATACCCCAGGTCCTGAGCAGATCTATCAGGCACTGTCTTCTGACTTAACTGCTGAGATGCTCTGCCTTGCCCATTGCACTCCTCCCTGCTGGTATGTGCTGACTGTAGCTGCTATTCAGTCAGTGACACAGAGCTAGTGCCACAGGGCCATACAAGGACACAGCATGCTCAGTAGTCACACTGCTACCTGTGTCAAAGGAGGAATCCCAGGCGAGGCAGCAAAAACCCCGCTGAAACTTAAGAGAGATGTAGCAAGGCGTTCTCCACTGCCATAAGCTGCCCTATGTGATATTCTGCACCGGGGAGGAAAATCTCCTTGGCTCTTTGCTAGCAGCAGCATAGCTTTGTGCCAATTCCAGATCTGCTCTGATCACTGTAACCTTCCTCTGCAACCAGCTGCCCAGATTAATTAAGTGACATTTCTGTCCCTGCTCCACAAGGCATGCTTGGGCCTCACCTCTGCGGGACAGCCGGGTATCTGCATCTGTGTCCACAAAAAGCTTCATGCGGAACAGATCCCGCACCTCCTGGCTGTAGAAGGCCAGGATGCCTTCGAAGAGCACCACGTCGGCAGGGTAGACAGTCACCGTCTCCTCTTTCCTAACAGAAGGAAGGAGAGTCAAAATATGCTGGTATGGGGAAACAAGCCAAGAGAGGTGGGGGAAACAGTGGCACTCCTAGACACTGCTCCAACCCTGGGACATCACCGCTGCACAAGGGGGACAACCAAGAAAAGGGCAGACCTACCCCACCACAGTGAAGGGAATCCAAGGCATACCTACACTTCCTAGAAGGACAAACAGCAGAGCAGGAAGCAGACCAGCCCTTCTCCCTCTACTTGGCTAGCTGCTGCTTGCAAGCGCTATGTGCCAAGCCAGAAATCCCAGAAAGCCTACACATGGGACTTGACCCTTGGGAACCTGCAAGAGCCAGATCTGCTCCTCTGGCAGCCAAGTAGCACTCCCCTGACACCGCAGTGCTTCTGTGGGAAACAGAGCAGGGTCACACTGTCCACGACCAATACAGGCATGCAAAAACAAGCTGAACACATGCAAGGGAAGAGTTACAGGAGCAAGAACTGTTGTTCTCCTCCTTTCCTGGCAGTGCCAGGCTGTTTGAGCCTAGAATACTTGTTAAAGCTACAAACAGAGTTTGTGGGGAGACAAACTGCGGGTGGAAGAAGAAAAGAGGGGCCACAACCCTACTCCGTTAACACCTATATGTTGCTGGATGCTACTGCATGGCTGCGCAGCTTTCCAGACCCTCAGACTGCACCTGTATCTGCCCTGGATCCTCTAACCAAGGGTTCTGGAGAAGTTAGGATTGAAACTTTGAGTTGGCACATTAGGTGCCTAACAGAGGGTGCAAGCAGAGTGGCAGGTGATTTGGGCTGGCAGGACTGCGTGCTGCACCACAGGGTGTTAGCAGCAGCACAGCAAGGCAGGAGCAGCTGTTGGACCTGGAGTGGGAGACAAAGTCATAGACAGGAATCTGGACCGTCTTCCCTTCTGTGATCTCTTTGAGCGTTTTCACAATCAGCTCGTTGTCAAAGGCATCTGAGGAGAGAGGAAACGTTACCTGAGGCAGCTTTACAACCCCTCCCACCCACCAGACACTGAGCTTAGCCTAGCCAGAGCCACTGGCACTCCACACTGGGGACAGACAAACACACAGACAAGGAAGAAAAGCCCTGCACATCCCCACAGGCATAGCAAGGCCCATCTCTCCCAGAGCCCCTGGGTATTCACTATCGCTGCTTTGCACTAGCCTGGGATCTGGCCTGCAGAGATCAATACCGTCCTTGTATGGTGGTGCGGCTGCCCAGGCTCAGGAAGGCATCTCCTCCAGGGCTCCAGCCCTCAGAGAGACTGGAGCAGTGTTTCAGCCTTGAGTCACTGGACAGACAGAGCTCTGTTTGCTCAGTGCTCGCTGTCTCTGGCCATTGTCCTCATGGGGATGCAAGGACAGCAGCTCTGGAATTTCCCCACCAAGCCCAGAGATGGTTCAAAGAGCCCCTGTTGTAGTAACAGGGCACAGCCCCCTCAGTGGAGGGGTTTGCAGAGCAGCTGCACAAGACTGTTCCCTCCCTGAAGGAGGGACACAGAGCTGCTGGCTCCAGGGGGCTGTGCCAGATGCAATCTCCCTGGTCCCAACCCGGCTGCACCAGAAAGGTTTTCAAATTGACAGATGTTTTTGCAGGGAGAAGAGGAGCATCTCAAGGAGTTTTGAGGGTTCGCAACCTGCCCTTTCTCATCCCAAACACTCCACCCCACAGACAGTTTCCTTCCCAGGAGAGACAGAGGTCGTACTGCAGGGGGGACAGGTGGTCCCCAGCCACCCTGCCAGGGGTGAACCCAGCTCCACAACAGCTCAAGTAAATCTCCCACTCTTGCCCCCTGTGGAGACAGGGTCCCAGTGTCCACGCAAGGCTCTTTGGTGGTGAAGCAAGGGGTCCCGCTCCAGCCCTTGCCCCCCACTGCATGGCAGAGCCACAGTGCTGTTCTCCATGCATTCACCTGGGTGGTCAAAATTGAACTGGCCTTTGAGTGCTTTGGATTTCTGCTCTGAGGTGAGGACGCGGTAGAAGCTGTCTTGGCTCACGATCACCACCTGCTTCTGGCGGTAGTCCACCTCATTCTGGCCCAGCAGCTGGACGATCTTGGAGCATACTGAGGACTGGGAAAAGAACAGCAAAGAAGGCAAGTCAGTGGCAAGTGATGTCTGAGCCATGCAGGGAGGATGTCCCCAGGTAACAGCCATTTCTGGGTGCATGAGGCACTGCTTGCTGGACCTCCAGCTGAGAGTTTGTGTTCCCCTCAAAGGCACAGCCTAAAGCCACTGAGGGAAAAGTGCTCCAGAAGCATAAACATGGGGCTCTTCAGTGTCAAAGCAGCACTAAGTTTGCTCCCTGCCTCCCTCTCTTCTATCCCTATAGCCTGCGCACAGCTCCTGGTCTGGGTACAAATGGCAGCAGGAAACCAGTCAGCCACTGCCTGGGCTCTGCAGCACCCCCAGGGGCCCCATGGCCAGCCTGAGCCTGGCCAGCAGCTCCCCAGGGAGCAGAGCTGCGTGTGGCACCAGGGCTGAGCCTCCTCCCTGGGAGGCAGCCTCAGTGTCTTGGTTCCTCCAGCACTGGTCCAGCCCAGAAACCCCACCACAGCATGGGCAGGGAGGGAGAGAGTCCTCAGAGAGTGAAAGCCAGGTTGTTTTCAGAAGCTAAACAAAGCTCAGGGTGAAAAAACACCAAAAAGAGAGCCATGGGACTACATCAGGATCTCTGCCACAGCTGTCAGAGCTGGGAGGCGCAGACTCAAGCATATCCTGGTGCCTCTTGGCATGAGACTAAGGGCACTGCAGAGCCACATGGCTCTGGCTGCTGGTGCAAGATCCCCAGGAGCACTGCTGGCACAGGGACTGGCACCTCCCATATCAGATGGAGTGGGCTGGGTGCCGGTGAGCTGGCATTGACACTCTGCTGGCACTTGCAGCAGGCACAAGCTAGAGGTCATGCTGGACCACTGCAACAAGAATAAGCGCACAGCCTGGGGGACAAATCCCAAAGCCTGCTTCAGTCCCTTCTCCCTAGTCATATGAGTCCTTGGCCACTATGCAACACAGTAGTGTTGACTGCATCACTAACTGGCAGCCAGCACACCTGCCCTGGCCAGTGTGACCTGCCTGTGGGAGCCCTCTGTGTCAGCCCCACAGCATCCACTGTTTGGGGAGAAGTGGGTGCTCCTGTTGCCAAACTGAGCTGCTTCACCTCATGTGAATCATGCTTGCTGCAGATGCCCTCAACTTGATGCAGAGTTGAGAAGCTCCTAGTCTCGATCACCACAAGTACTCTCTGCTGAGCCCCGTGATTTGCAAAGAGAAGTTTGCTTGCCCCAGCCTGCCAGTGGCTCTTTCCGTGCTCCCACTTCCCTGCTGGCTCAACCATCTGCTCTGTACCAGGCTGACAACCTCCAGATTAACAGCCTTCAGCAGAGCTGAAGACAGCGGTGGTGAGAGGGAACAGGGAGAAGAATGCATGCCTGGCAGAGGAGGTCACTCCAGCAAGCAGAGGGCAAGGCCGTTTGCCTGAGAAGCTGGAAGATTTGACAGCATTCCTGTCCCTAGAGACTGTCTCTTCCCCTTCAGGCCAGGCTGACCTGGCTTGGTTGTGACCACTGTGCTGTGAGTCAGCCCCAGTCTGGCTGGAGAGCCTCCACACACAGCACTGCTGCAGAGTGAATCGGCTCAGGCTGCCAAGCAGCAGTCCTTGTGGCCCTGGGCACAAATTTGGGCTTCAGGTCAGGGACGGGGTCTCCTGAGCATCCCACCTTCTTTTCCTGCCTTTCAGGGCTGGCAAGTTGTGCTTCCTGAGCCACGTCAGGAAGCCCTGCCCTGCAGCAAGCTGCTACCATCCAGAACAAAGCACTACAAGTCAGTGCCAGTCACTCGCCCTGCAGCGTGCGCAGACACAAAGCCAGGGCCCATTCTCCGTTTCCTCTGTTTTCCCACTCCCCACATCCTTCTCCATGCTGTGTCAGCCCTATTGCTTATCCAGCTGTATCCCATAGGTTTCACTAAACCAGGGAACAGCGCATGCACAGTGCCTCTCCTCCACTTTTCCTCCCTGCTCTGTCCTCCAGACACTGCTGCCCATGCAGCAGGGAGATGCAGTGCAGCAGGGTTCAGCCTCAGCCACAGCTGCAGACACCAAATTTCCCATACCCATTGCAATAAACCACCTCCCAGCACAACCACCCAGACAGATCCCCAGCCTGTACATCAGTAGGCTCCATATGTATCTGTACCAGAAATCACTTTCTCCAGCCCAGAAGGAGCGGGGCCCCTTTACTTTGGATCAGTGAAAACACACCATTAGTTGCACACTCACTCTCCCCTTGGACTTCAGCATGCAGACGGACAATAAAACCATTGGAGGGCATCAGACAGCTCCTGTCAGTCTTTCTTCTGCCTTATGCACATTAATCTCTGGTCTACTGATCCTGGAAAGTGGGACGGGGGGAAAGTCCCCATCAGCTTTGAAAAATCACCCTCCTGTTCCATACCTCACGACTTAAGACACCTAGTGGTGAGAAAAATCCAAGGAGAAAGCAGCCCCCAGCTGCTGGAGATAGGAGTACATCCTCCCACTGGGGCCCAGAACAAGGACTGGAGCATGTCCTGGCTGCATTTACCATTCAGTGCTCTGTGGTGGCAAATGCCTCCTGCAAAAGTATCCAGGCAGATGCTATGGACTCTTCCCTTTTCTCTGGTGGTCTTTGCCAACCTATCAGAAGGTCATCCTGCTCTCAGGACTGAGCTCAGGTTCATCATACTGTGCTGCCCTGCTAGGCAGGGATGTCACTTCTGGGCCCTGGGAAGAAGCACATGACACCTTGGTCACATAGAAGGTGTGGGCCAGGACAGTAAGTGCAGCAGGACATAGGAACAGCGGGGGACATGGCATGTTCCTCTACCCCGAGGGCTGCATTCAGCTTGCCTTAGTGGGGCAGCAAACTTCAGCAAGATCTAGATGGAGAAGGTGGTTTTGCTTTCCTCGCAATCATTTGTGATGGAAACAAGAATGGTTCTGGGTGCCATTCCTTGATGCAAGTCTGAATACCTCCGACAGCTGGACAGGCATTTTTTCCCCTTGGTTGATAAACACCCTGTGTTAAGGAGGAAATAAAACCAGAAACACAGAGGTTACAAATTCCCCTACAAAGTGGGAACAAAACTTCACAGTTTTATGAAGTGTCCCTTCAAATGAATAACGTGTATCCCCTGCTTAAACCCCCTTCTCCCAAACCAGTTAATGCATACATACATGTGACTGATGTTAATCAGAAGTGTGAAAAATCCACTAATAACTGGAAATGATAGCAGTTATGCTCTGGGAAGGCCTTAAGATGCCCAGAAAGACCAAGACATGACTGTGAAGTAATGTGCCAGGGTGCAATCAGCCTCACTCAGCCCCTTCCACAGATCTACACTGGGTACACCTCACCATGACCCAAAGTGACATGACATGACACCATCACCAGTGGTGATTCAGCCGCAGCGCGCTCCCAGAAACAGAATGCCTTCTTAAGCAAAAGCCTTCCCCTTCTCCAGAACTTACTTAAAACTAAATACAGACAGAACACAACAAACCCCAAGCCTCCATGCTTGCCAAGTGGACTTTCCCCATGTCAGCCACATAAAACCAATGCAGGACTTCCCAAGCATGTAGGCAGGCAGCCTTGGCCACTCTGCCATCATTCATTACTTTCCACACACTGCACTGAGGGGAAACTGAGCTCCAGGTTTAAGCCAACTGGCTGCAACCCACTGAGCTGCACTCCCCCAGACTTTGCACTTGAGCTGCTCCCTGGGAAAACTGCAAACCAACCTACACCACACACAGATGGTTGAGAGGGAGGTATCTACACATTACAGCACAAGAAGCGAGCTGAGAGATGTTATTCCTGAGCAGAAGCAGATGCAGCTCCTCTTGCAAGATTCCTCCTCTGAACCAAGCGCACAAATAACTAGTGTTGAAGGGAGAAGTACAGCTTTATTCTGTTGGGAGGACACAGAGGGCACCTGGGGAAGAACTCCAGCATATTTTCCCAGAAGGAGAGAGTGGTGCACAGAGGAAGAAACTCTACGGATGGTTATTTCAAGCCCTGCCCCTGACAATTATTTCAAAGATTTCATGGCCTACAGCTGGCTGCTCAGATATTCTTCAGGAGTTGACTAATTTCCCACACAGATTATCCCACAATCCCTCTTGGGTAGCTCTTATCAGCCAGAGAATTAGGACTTCAGATGGGTATTAGAGAGAAAGCTGATGGACAATGCTACAGGTAACCACCACAGGAAGGTACCAGGCAGGACACAGCTGATGCTTGCAGCCCCAGGTTTGCTGCAGCAGGTAGGGCAGTATCAGTATTTCTGCCCTGGCTGGTAAGGCCTGTCCTGGGCTAGCAGGGATCTGTATGCCTCATGCATGTGAATACAGTAAAACCTACTTGCTCAGAGCAGTCCATCTATCCACAGGGAGCCTGGCACTGCAGAGGGATGTCTACACCAGATTGCTCACTAGGGTCCCAATACAGCAGCAGGGAGGACCCCCCATCCTCCCTATGCCAGATAAAGTGATTCTAGCTCTAAAGGAATACAGAAGCTGACAGTTCCCCCAAGAGCAAGTAAAGGGAGAAGAGCTGTGCCAGAAGAAAGACCTACCAGGAGGGGCATGTGCTGTGCTCCAGTGTGGAAGGAAGAGAGGCATTTCTGCAAGCTGCTCACCCTGAGCCAAGATGCTGCTCACCATGAGGACAGTCCTCTCCAACAGGGTAATGCCCTTGGCCCACAACAAATGCTACAGCCAAGAGCAAGGATAGACTGCAGCAGTTACATCCCACCTCGCATCAGCGAGAGAAGCCCAGAGGTTATCTCAAGGGACACCACTGCCATAACCCCCTTTCCTTTAGGATTTGCATGCCAGCAGGCTTGGCAGGCGCTGTCACCAGCTTTGCACCCACATGAGCCCAGCTGAGGTGTCCTCATCACATGCTTGTAGATAAAACAGTCTCCAGTTTTAGGATCTGACAGGATTTTCCCTAAGATCACACAAGGGGCCACTAGGATTACTTGCTGCCTTTCTCTGAGGTCCCCTGTAGTATGGTTCCCTTTCCAAGAACCACAGGGGACTTTCACTCAATTGGGTCTCTGAAATCAGGAGCCATGGTAGTACCGCCCTTCTCTCCAGCTTATCTCCTGCAGCACAGTAGTTACGGATTTTGGTCTCTTCTTGTAAGGTTATGTTAATTATAGAATATCAGGAAGTGCTTGGTGGACTGGGG